TCCAAGGTGGCGTGTTATGTATGTTATTAGCATCGGAGAATGGATGACGGATAATCATGACCGGCATGAATATTCTATTGGTAAAATCATGTGGAATTGCAAAATGTTTCAGTCATTTCGCAGATTACTGATCAAAGTTTTGGTTTTGGTTATTTTAGTATTTAAATGTCAACTGCAAGGTATGTAGATTTAATGTTCCGGTTTAAGATCTTTAGATTACTTGAAAAAACAAAATTAGGCTATACTGTCGATAAAATTGTGTGAAATTATGAAATGCAGCAGATTGCAATTAGAGTTTGGTTCAGAATGTATATGGTTGTTGCAAGTTATGTGGATTAGTCTGAATTCTTTCGATAAATTAATAAACACAATCATTTTAATCAATCTGTTTGTTATGTGAAGGATATGGTGGTTGGTGGCACGGACACATCGACAAATACCATAGAGTTTGCGATGGCCGAGCTAATAAGCAAACCGGAGTTGATGAAGAGAGCGCAAGAAGAGCTAGACGAAGTTGTAGGCAAAGATAACATTGTTGAAGAATCACACATTACTAGTCTTCCTTACATGCTAGCCATTATGAAAGAAACACTTAGGCTTCACCCAACCATTCCTTTGTTAGTCCCTCACCGTCCCACTGAAACCGCAGTCGTGGGTGGCTACACGGTTCCTAAAGACACTAAGGTCTTCATCAATGTTTGGTCTATTCAGAGAGATCCAAATGTTTGGGAGAATCCGACTGAGTTCCGTCCTGAGAGGTTTCTTGATAAGANTTGTGATTTCACNGGAACCGATTATAGCTACCTTCCGTTTGGATCTGGCCGGAGAATTTGTGCCGGTATAGCACTCGCCGAGAGGATGGTTTTGTACACTCTCGCGACGCTGTTGCATTCGTTCGATTGGAAGATATCAAAAGGACATGTGGTGGATTTGGAAGAGAAGTTTGGGATTGTCTTGAAGCTCAAGACACCACTTGTTGCCTTGCCCATTCCAAGGTTGTCTGATTCGAATCTTTATCTATAGAAGCTAAGATTGTTATCTTTGCTAATTCTTATATTATATCCCGATACAAAATTATCGGGTTCTTTGGATGTATTTCTGGAGTTTTACAATAATCAAACATTAGTTTCGGTATTTTTTC